AGTGGGGGATGTGCGAGGTGGAATCTGTTCGTCCTCTTCTAGCTGCTGCAATTGTTTACTTTAACAATTTGGGAATTCGATCGCATACGAACTGTAACTTCTGCCTCCCTCTTTGTCAGCACCCTACTCCCAACCCCCTCCCCCCTGGAAATGCCCGTCCATTGATGAGCATGCTTCCTGAAATGTTTGGCGCATTAAATAGACGAGTAAATTTGTATGCGTTTAGTCATCAGTCAGAATATATCTCGAAATACATGGTACACATGCTTAAAGCGTGCCTGCCCCCTTTTCCGCTGCAACCGCCGCTGACTAAGTTTAGTCAATGAAGCGAATTATATGTATGTACATACATACATTATCGCATTCCATATTATTCCCCCAACATTTCAGAGGCCCGGCGCAACGCTTGTGTGTGCCAATGCCGCAGCGGCGATAAGGCTGGGCGTATTACGAGCTCTAACAGTGAGGTATATGCAATATGTAATAAACATTTGACATATCAATTATATACAAGTACTTTCTATCCATCTGGATCGGTTATGACAGCTATGTAAAGTAAATGTAGCATGACACATTCTATAAATACCCTTAAATACCCTGTAATTTACAATCAGTTTCGTTTCAAGGCATGGGCTATTCTCCCTAACACATACATATATTTATCTGTCTACGATTTACTGTTGTGTATGCCATTTACTGTTAATCGGTAACAAACGGCCTCATCGAGTGCAGCGACCCAACTAATCGTTAAAGGGTATCAAACGTCACTTACCTGTGGCCAGAATATCGTTAAAATGCCAAAAAGTAACAGCATTTGTTGCTTTCGTTGTTGCTTTTGTTGTTGCTGCTGTTGCTGTTGTTGCTGCTGCTTCATGGCGCTGCCCGTTGCAAGTACAGTGGAAACCCAAAAATGTTGACTGTTGCGGCTTTTGCTTGTTGCTTTCTTCCTTTTCTGCTTGTTATAACATTATTTGTCTGTCTCTGTGTGTGCATGTATGTAATTGTGTGTGTGCGTGCGTGTGTGTGTGTGTGTGTGTGTAAATATCACTCTCTCGATAGGTCGTCACTTAATTAATATTGCACTTGTTTACAGCGTCGACAGCGGGCGGCGTTGGCTCTTTTCTTTCTGCAGAAACAAATAAAAGATGCAACTCGCGCTAGTTACTAAATTGTTGTTGTTGTTGTTGTTGTCTGTTGTCGTTGTTCGTTTTGATTACAATATTCGTTGCCGCTGAGCGAATGACGCGTCGGCCACAATTCAAGGAATGCGCCCATGCCAAATGCTTTTTTATGGCCAAACAAAATTATAACGGCACTGTCACACTGCCTGCTGCTGCGCTCTCTCAATAGCAGCCGAAGAGAGCTGGCCTGGCGAGAGCGAACGAGAGATAGGAAGAGCAGCAGCAGCGGCAGCGGCAGCGGCCGCAACAAGCGAAAGCGTCGCAACGTCACTGCTGCAGGTAGAAAGCAAACGAATGAAACGGAAAAAAAAAAAATGAAGAAGACGGCGGCGACGCGTAGCTGCCTGCAGCGTGCGTGTGGTGCAAGCGAGCAGCGAAGAGAGCACAAGTGCGTATGCATGTGTTTGTGTGTGTGCATGTACATATACATACATGCATAAATGTATGCATGTGTAGTGTGAGCAGGCTGTTGCGCGTGCGTGTGCGTGTAATAACGGCGCTTTACAACTGACGCAGTTGCTGCGGCCGCGACTTTTGTTGTTGTTGCTGCTGCTGCTGCTGCCATTACGAAATAACTGCGCGTCCGCCATGACAATTACTAAGCAATTGTTGTTGTTGTTGCTGTTGCTGGTGCTGATTTAAGCTGTAGCTGTTCTTCAATTATTGCACCCCCATTTTGTGCACGGCAATTGTAATTATATTAATGCTAATTGCACGCATTTATTTCAACGGCAACAGCAATAGCGCACCCGCACGCAGACACAGCCGCCGCCCTTTCCCCACACACACACACACATGCATATACATACATACGTTAAGCGACAACAGCGGCGGCGCAGCGGCGGCGACAGCGAAGTCAGCTGCCCACAAAAAAAAAAAAAAAAAAAATTCACTTGTAATGGTTGTAGCCGCTGTTGCTTCTTCTTCTTCTGCCGCTGCGTTTGCGCTTGCTGCATTAATTAAACTAGTCACGTTCTGTGTTTGTTGTTTTTGGTTTAAAATGATTTTTTTTTTGTTTTGATTTTGGTGAAATTTAACTGGCCGTCGCACTGTTTTTGTTTTTAATTTATACATATATATATTTGCAAATTTAAGTTGAATTCCAGCACAGGCACAAGTGCCATTAGCTTAGTTATTAACTAAACAAATACACGCATTAATTCAAGCAGTGGCAGCAGCAGCATCGGCGGCGTCCGCATTTGTAAACACACAACAAAAACAACATTAGTAAAATGTAACCGTACACAATCTATGAGAGCGTCTTCACTCCTCTCTCTCTCTCTCTCTCTCTCTTAACACTCACTCACTCTCTCACTTAAGGTGTTGCTTTATTTGTTGACATTAAGAAATTACATTTGAAATTTGCATTAGCGCCCAAAAAAAGCCAACGAAATCACAATACACAGTCCACGAAGGTGTTAAAACATCTTTTTTGTTTGGATAGAAAAACAACAAAAATTAAAAAAAAAAAATAAACGTATGTGCGCGCGTTCAGCGCAAGCGACAACAATAACCGAACCGAACGAAGAAGTGTATAAAAGTGAACAAAAACAAGTGGATAAAACAACAACAAAACAGTGCGCAGAACATCACTTGAGTGTGTTGCGCAGCGCTGCTTTGCCATATCGATATATCGATAGACGGCTAGTTATTTTGGTATTAATCGTTACTGCTGACTATTCACAATATAGCGCAATCAAGTAGCGCCATCTACAGTTCAGTTTGCAGCGCGCCTAAATTTGAAAAGGTCTTTCCCGGGTCATTCAAATGGGCGCAGAATTTAATAAGCTTCGGCAAGAACATAATAATATCATGCTATAAAACAATGAAAGCTCACCCGAAAGGCACAACCTTCTGCCAGCATTGGTCGCTTGGTTTGCCCTTTACTTACAACTCTGATACTGCAATAAAAACCGTTGAAAAAACGTTGGGGAAAAAACCGATTGTGAATAAATGTGGCGGTTGGCTGACTGCGTGTAGTCGATATTATTTAACTATCGATGCTTGTTGAGGTGAACCTGGCAGCAATTAAACTGCAATTAACACCAACAAAGCGTCTGGTTCGTGGCGATTATTTAAATTAATTGTATATTATGGTATTTTCATTGGTTTTATTTATGCATGGCTCCCACCAAAGTTGGTATTCTAGCTGGTATTTTTTTTAGCTCCATTGTAAACGCGTATATCGATAGTGCAGTTCGATAAGCTTAACGAAGCGCAACTATCGATAAGGAAACTGCCGAATTGAACGAATGTTTGGCGCCATTTCGAAAATGCAAATCAAATTAATAATATGAAATCAAAATAGTAAGAGAATTCTGCTGCAACCCAAAAAAGTGGCTTGTGTTCCAGCTAATTAGTTCTTGCAGACCTAAACATATGCAAGGATCCATTTAATTGAGTATATATTTTGATCAATAGAACAATTAGTAAAATATTATTTGCCTCTGGACAAGACTAAAAGGTGTGGACGTAAAATATTTATGAATAATATGAATCGAATTGAATAAATACAAAGATTCATCCTCTTAAAAATAAATGAGGCGAGATTGTTGTGTGCATAAAAAACGCCCTAAAACATTGTTTAAGGACGCAAAAAGAATACAATAAAATAAAATAAATCTGATGTGTTTACAGCAGAAAACTTAACAAATAAAAAGTAGATATATAAAAATCAAATGAAAGTTGATAATGGGAAACGATATAATAAACAAAATTACGATTAAAATAGAATTTTATTTGAATAAAGAATTATTTACACGTCGATTAAATTAAACATACTTCCAGCCGATAGGGATAGAAGTAGTAGCAGAAGTTTATAGCTCACGACTTGCACGAGAAATAATAAATAAATTAAATATAGTATTTAGATACAACAAAAATTAGCCAAATAACCAACACAATCGCCATTGGACACGACTAAAAGGCAAAGAGCAAAGATCAGAAAGTGTACGCAAGATATAAACAAATATTTAATAATCAATTCGATTAAAATTAATATAAAAAAAAAACACATTTTTTTGCGAAATTCCACAAATGAAAGCAGTTGGCGCAATTACCGAAATCCTGGGTCATAGGGAAACCCCTTAAACCACTTTAAAAAAAAAAAAAAACAAAATATATATTTATTTAAAAAAAATAAAAAAAAGAAAATCAATTGAACGAGTCAAAAGAAAGAAAAAAAAACACATTATCCAAGGGATATATGTATATATTACTTTTCAGAAATATATTGTATTAAAAAAAATTGTATAAAAAGAAAATAAATTAAGTAAGAAAAAGATCTGTGCTGGACGAGGCTCAGCCACAGACTGAGCAGAAAGTGAATTTCCCATTCGAAGGAAAACTAATTGAAGGCAATTCAAAGGCTACTTTGATGATATTCAAATGCCAAAATCGAAACGAAAATCTGCGACGTATACAAATTCATCTAAAACTTAACTTGAATGTATCATAATATACCCTAAACCCATTGAAAATGGCTCGACGGCTAGGGTATGATGTTTTTGTGCTTGTGTATGTAACAGGCAGGAGGATGCATCTGCGAACCCATAAAGTATATAGATTCTTGATCAGCATCAGCAGTCGAGTCGATCTAGCCATGTCCGTCTGTCCGTCTGTGTGAATGCAAGGATATCAGAATGTAGCTCCTTCCAGTGCATGCGCAGTGCATGTTTCCGATAATCGATAAATTGCACCGTTGCCAAGCAATCGATAACAATCGATATCGAAATCGTGTTTTTTTTTAGCAAATCTCGTCATATTTGCAAGCAACTTCCTGAATAGTATATATTTATATTAATATATCTTTCATTTCAGGCACACCAAAGCTTTAAATCAAGTAAATCCTTTGCCAAATAATGTCCCATTTTGGACTCGTAAGTATCAGGACTATCGATTGGTATAAAAATTACGTTCACGCGTTTTTGCTCAAAATCGAGTTCGCTTCGCAGATTAAAAACTTTTTTGATGAATTTGCTTGAATATCTCGCGTAAATACGAGCAGGCGAGTCCTGTGTCTGCCCGAAGGACATTAAAATCGAAATGAAGGATTTTCATACTTTTTATTACGAGTTTCAAGCTGGCAGGATAAGGGCTAAGTGTTGTGCAAAGTACATCAAAATCGTCCTTATGGTTGCCAAAATATGTGCATTGTCTCCTTAAGGACACTACATTGTTCGCCTTAAGGAGCACTCGGATGTCCTTTGCACAACATGTAGTCCTTATCCTGCCAACATAGAATATGTAATAAAGAGAGCGAAAATCCTTCAAGAAGCTGAGCAAAAGCGTTTTTTGTCGGGAGAAATAAAAGGCTCTAGATCGGCCGTATCCTTGCCGATCATGATGGCCGTTGGCCAAGCGTTAGTCCTCATCCATCCAATTCAGAATATATATTGACAAGGACGAAAGTCCTTCGGACAGCCTAGAGATGAGTACGATTCGTTCGTAAATTAACAAAGCCATAACTCGGCCGTATCCTAGCGTATCCCGACAAGTCCGGTGTCAAACAAATCGTATGAGCAAGGACCATAAACTGTCCAAAGGACAACAAAATCGTCCTTGCCGTTTCCGATATATGGCTAAATTTCTAAAAAGGACATTTTTCAATAGGCCATAACTCGGCCAAATCCTGAAGGATATCGAAAGGATATGCATTTTTGAACTCGTTGTGAGCCGAACTATCGATTGGCATTCAAGGATTTCCAGGATTCGACAAAAAATTTCGTCGAAATTTTTCCTAGGGGGTTAGTCGCAAAATCGAAAAGTGCCAGGCTAACTTTGCCATTTGAAGGACTACGGGGATGTCCTTTGGCCAGTAGATAGTCCTCAGCCTCCCATTGAAGAATTTACAGCCCAAAGGACGAAAGTCCTTCGGACAAAAAAGTTTTAAGGACAAATTTGTATACCTAAAATAGGCCATAACTCGGCTGCATCCTTGCGTATCCTTGCGAGTCATAGGTCAAAAGAATTGTATTAACCAGGACTACTAGCTGGCCAAGTTTCATTAAGATCGTCCTTGTGGTTTTGTAGATATTTAAGAAAATGTGTTTTCAACCCATTTCCGTGCGCGCCGCGACGAAAATTTTACAAGTCAAAATACAAGTACCGGGATTCTTAGATGACCCCATATTTTTATGATGCAGATCGATGCAGACGGTTCATACGATCCTAACGCACCATGTCCTTTGAAAATCTGCAAGGACATGACCGAGTTATGTCCTTTTTTCTTCACAAAATATGCCTTTATATATATTCTGTTTTTTTTTTTTAATTTAAATGTGTTTTTATCTTTGCAGGCTGACAAATTAGGGACTACAACGAGCTCCAAGGACCTTTACGAAGGATAATGCAGATTTTTCCAGGATTGGACTTCAATTAAGCCGGATTTAGTTATTTTACGTTAAAATTAGCTAAAATTGTAATTTATGCTCGATTTGTATAGTTTTAAGAGAAAAATTTAAGAATATAATGTTAAAAAGAACAAAATTTATAAATACCCCCATTGCATACCCTCACGGGTCGCCCTGGTCGGCGGCTACGCCCCAAATTTTCCCTAAAATTCCCCTCAAATACCAGGCGAACAGAAATGCCCAGAAGGTCGCTGAGTGAGTTGAATAAAAATATTCATTGCATAGCATTAAGGGGCAAAAATGTAACTCATTTAAAATGAGTGCTGTTAAATAGCAGCTCATGTTAAATGAGCGCTGTAAGCCGGCTGCAGCTGATGTAAAAGGGCTCCTGAAAGAAAAAGCATACATGTTTTTGGACCATTTCAATGCACATTTTGCAACGATTTGATCCTTTAGGTTCCCAAGGACTATATCAATGGTATGGCATAACCAAGGATATGCTAGTCAACTAGCAACCATTTAGGGGGCGCGGCACTGTCGCTGGAGGCGGCTGTTAAGGAAAAGCATACATATTTTGGAGTCCGTTCCTACGCATTTTGCAAGAACTTTGTCCTTTAGGTTCGCTAGGACTATATCCATGATAGGGAACAACCAAGGATATTAAGGTCAACTAGGTACCATGAACGTTGCTGATCAGATGTTGTCCATGAACGTTGCCAGATTGAGCTGAAACACACACAAAATGAAAAATATATTAGTTTTTGTCAACTAAAATACATTGATTAATCGGACATACCTTTAAGGATTCCTGAGTCTTTAAAATTAACAGAATTCAACAAAATATTGATTTGATTTAAATACGATTTCGTTTAAGGTATATCCATGGCAAGATCAGTGAGGTACCAACGTTATTGAGTGAGTTGTTCTTGAAAAGCAGAAAAAATCGAATTAGTATTTAGCATGATTTTAATATCGGTTTAAATAAGTCCGATTTCCGAGATATTAAAAAAATCATCGAAAAAGTTTCGATTATCGCAAAACCTCGATTTTGAAAAACAACGTGATGAGTTAATGGAAGGTCATATCGCTGGAGTTATGTCGTTTTGGAACGTCATATCTCCACGCGGAGCTATGTCGTTTTGGAACGTCATATCTCCGCGCGGAGTTATGTCGTTTTGGAACGTCATATCTCCACGCGGAGCTATGTCGTTTTGGAACGTCATATCTCCGCGCGGAGTTATGTCGTTTTGGAACGTCATATCTCCGCGCGGAGTTATGTCGTTTTGGAACGTCATATCTCCGCGCGGAGTTATGTCGTTTTGGAACGTCATATCTCCGCGCGGAGTTATGTCGTTTTGGAACGTCATATCTCCGCGCGGAGTTATGTCGTTTTGGAACGTCATATCTCCGCGCGGAGTTATGTCGTTTTGGAACGTCATATCTCCGCGCGGAGTTATGTCGTTTTGGAACGTCATATCTCCGCGCGGAGTTATGTCGTTTTGGAACGTCATATCTCCGCGCGGAGCTATTACCCGAGATATTAAAAAATCATCGAAAAAGTTTCGATTATCGCAAAACCTCGATTTTGAAAAACAACGTGATGATTTTATGGAACGTCATATCTCCGCGCGGAGTTATGTCGTTTTGGAACGTCATATCTCCGCGCGGAGTTATGTCGTTTTGGAACGTCATATCTCCGCGCGGAGTTATGTCGTTTTGGAACGTCATATCTCCGCGCGGAGTTATGTCGTTTTGGAACGTCATATCTCCGCGCGGAGTTATGTCGTTTTGGAACGTCATATCTCCGCGCGGAGTTATGTCGTTTTGGAACGTCATATCTCCGCGCGGAGTTATGTCGTTTTGGAACGTCATATCTCCGCGCGGAGTTATGTCGTTTTGGAACGTCATATCTCCGCGCGGAGTTATGTCGTTTTGGAACGTCATATCTCCGCGCGGAGCTTTTACCCGAGATATTAAAAAAATCATCGAAAAAGTTTCGATTATCGCAAAACCTCGATTTTGAAAAACAACGTGATGATTTTATGGAAGGTCATATCGCTGGAGCTATGTCGTTTCGGAACGTCATATCTCCGCGCGGAGTTATGTTGTTTTGGAATGTCATATCTCCGCGCGGAGTTATGTCGTTGTGGAACGTCATATCTCCGCGCGGAGTTATGTCGTTTTGGAACGTCATATCTCCGCGCGGAGCTATTACCCGAGATATTAAAAAAATCATCGAAAAAGTTTCGATTATCGCAAAACCTCGATTTTGAAAAACAACGTGATGATTTTATGGAAGGCCATATCGCTGGAGTTATGTCGTTTCGGAACGTCATATCTCCGCGCGGAGTTATGTCGTTGTGGAACGTCATATATCCGCGCGGAGTTATGTCGTTTTGGAACGTCATATCTCCGCGCGGAGCTATTACCCGAGATATTAAAAAAATCATCGAAAAAGTTTCGATTATCGCAAAACCTCGATTTTGAAAAACAACGTGATGATTTTATGGAACGTCATATCTCCGCGCGGAGTTATGTCGTTTTGGAACGTCATATCTCCGCGCGGAGTTATGTCGTTTTGGAACGTCATATCTCCGCGCGGAGTTATGTCGTTTTGGAACGTCATATCTCCGCGCGGAGCTATTACCCGAGATATTAAAAATATTATCGAAAAAGTTTCGATTTTCGCACCGACCTCGATTTTGAAAAAAAACGTTATGTAACCCCTTGTCATCCGTACGAATACAAAAAGCCATCAAATATAAAAATCAGACAATGTTCACCCGAGATATTCCAAAAAAATCATTAATAAAGTTTTGATTTCGAGTCGAAAAAGGGTTGACTTAACGAGCGAATCGTTTTTTTGTCTATAACATTTTTTTTTTAATTAAACGATGTTTAATTTGCTTTGAATGCCAATTGATGGTAGGGATCCGTATGCATTCAAAAATGTATAACATTTTAAAATCAAACATTATTTACCCGAGGTATCAAAAAAATCATCAAAAAAGTTTCGATTATCGCAAAACCTCGATTTTGAAAAACAACGTGATGATTTAATGGAAGGTCATATCGCGGGAGTTATGTCGTTTTGGAACGTCATATCTCCACGCGGAGTTATGTCGTTTTGGAAGGTCATATCTCCGCGCGGAGTTATGTCGTTTTGGAACGTCATATCTCCACGCGGAGTTATGTCGTTTTGGAAGGTCATATCTCCGCGCGGAGTTATGTCGTTTTGGAACGTCATATCTCCGCGCGGAGTTATGTTGTTTTGGAACGTCATATCTCCGCGCGGAGTTATGTCGTTTTGGAACGCGCGGAGTTATGTTGTTTTGGAATGTCATATCTCCGCGCGGAGTTATGTCGTTTTGGAACGTCATATCTCCGCGCGGAGTTATGTCGTTTTGGAACGTCATATCTCCGCGCGGAGTTATGTCGTTTTGGAACGTCATATCTCCGCGCGGAGTTATGTCGTTTTGGAACGCGCGGAGTTATGTCGTTTTGGAACGTCATATCTCCGCGCGGAGTTATGTCGTTTTGGAACGTCATATCTCCGCGCGGAGTTATGTCGTTTTGGAACGTCATATCTCCGCGCGGAGTTATGTCGTTTTGGAACGTCATATCTCCGCGCGGAGCTATTACCCGAGATATTAAAAAAATCATCGAAAAAGTTTCGATTATCGCAAAACCTCGATTTTGAAAAACAACGTGATGATTTTATGGAAGGTGTTATCGCGGGAGTTATGTCGTTTTGGAAGGTCATATCTCCTCGCGGAGTTATGTTGTTTTGGAACGTCATATCTCCGCGCGGAGCTATTACCCGAGATATTAAAAAAATCATCGAAAAAGTTTCGATTATCGCACCGACCTTGATTTTGAAAAAAAACGTGATGTAACCCCTTGTCATTTTGTCGATGTGGGTTTTTATTTTTATTCTGTTGATGCCAATCGATAGTACCGATCCTTACGAGTCCAAAATGGTATACAATTCCAAAATCCGACTTTATTTGGCCGAGATATTTAAAATAATCATGAAAAAAGGTCGAATTTAGAAACAAGTCGTTTTTTGGTCAACAAATTTTTTGAACCCATCGATTTTAAGTTTGTTTATATGTCAATTAATAGTAGGGATCCGTACGAATACAAAAAGGCATCAAATATAAAAATCAGACAATGTTCACCCGAGATATTCCAAAAAAATCATCAATAAAGTTTTGATTTCGAGTCGAAAAAAGGTTGACTTTACGAGCGAATCGTTTTTTTGTCTACAACATTTTTTTTTTAATTAAACGATGTTTAATTTGCTTTGAATGCCAATTGATGGTAGGGATCCGTATGCATTCAAAAATGTATAACATTTTAAAATCAAACATTATTTACCCGAGGTATCAAAAAAATCATCAAAAAAGTTTCGATTATCGCAAAACCTCGATTTTGAAAAACAACGTGATGACTTTATGGAAGGTCATATCGCGGGAGTTACGTCGTTTTGGAACGTCATATCTCCACGCGGAGTTATGTCGTTTTGGAACGTCATATCTCCGCGCGGAGTTATGTCGTTTTGGAACGTCATATCTCCGCGCGGAGTTATGTCGTTGTGGAACGTCATATCTCCGCGCGGAGTTATGTCGTTTTGGAACGTCATATCTCCGCGCGGAGTTACGTCGTTTTGGAACGTCATATCTCCGCGTGGAGTTATGTCGTTTTGGAACGTCATATCTCCGCGCGGAGCTTTTACCCGAGATATTAAAAAAATCATCGAAAAAGTTTCGATTATCGCAAAACCTCGATTTTGAAAAACAACGTGATGATTTTATGGAAGGTCATATCGCTGGAGCTTTGTCGTTTCGGAACGTCATATCTCCGCGCGGAGTTATGTTGTTTTGGAATGTCATATCTCCGCGCGGAGTTATGTCGTTGTGGAACGTCATATCTCCGCGCGGAGTTATGTCGTTTTGGAACGTCATATCTCCGCGCGGAGCTATTACCCGAGATATTAAAAAAATCATCGAAAAAGTTTCGAGTATCGCAAAACCTCGATTTTGAAAAACAACGTGATGATTTTATGGAAGGTCATATCGCTGGAGTTATGTCGTTTCGGAACGTCATATCTCCGCGCGGAGTTATGTCGTTGTGGAACGTCATATCTCCGCGCGGAGTTATGTCGTTTTGGAACGTCATATCTCCGCGTGGAGTTATGTCGTTTTGGAACGTCATATCTCCGCGCGGAGCTTTTACCCGAGATATTAAAAAAATCATCGAAAAAGTTTCGATTATCGCAAAACCTCGATTTTGAAAAACAACGTGATGATTTTATGGAACGTCATATCTCCACGCGGAGTTATGTCGTTTTGGAACGTCATATCTCCGCGCGGAGTTATGTCGTTTTGGAACGTCATATCTCCGCGCGGAGTTATGTCGTTTTGGAACGTCATATCTCCGCGTGGAGTTATGTCGTTTTGGAACGTCATATCTCCGCGCGGAGCTTTTACCCGAGATATTAAAAAAATCATCGAAAAAGTTTCGATTATCGCAAAACCTCGATTTTGAAAAACAACGTGATGATTTTATGGAAGGTCATATCGCTGGAGCTTTGTCGTTTCGGAACGTCATATCTCCGCGCGGAGTTATGTTGTTTTGGAATGTCATATCTCCGCGCGGAGTTATGTCGTTGTGGAACGTCATATCTCCGCGCGGAGTTATGTCGTTTTGGAACGTCATATCTCCGCGCGGAGCTATTACCCGAGATATTAAAAAAATCATCGAAAAAGTTTCGAGTATCGCAAAACCTCGATTTTGAAAAACAACGTGATGATTTTATGGAAGGTCATATCGCTGGAGTTATGTCGTTTCGGAACGTCATATCTCCGCGCGGAGTTATGTTGTTTTGGAATGTCATATCTCCGCGCGGAGTTATGTCGTTGT